CTAATGATCTTATTTATCTCTTTTATTTTCTTACTGTCTGTCTTCCCAACCAGAACATAAGCTCTGTGAGAATGAGTACCTTGTCCTTTTTATTCCTCGATGTTTCCTTCAATCTCAAAACATTAATCAACACATAACAAGTCCCCAAGTATGTGTTGATGAATAAATGATGTAATCTGACAACGATTCCATCAGAGGTATTACTAGTCCCTTTTCACAGATGAGGAAACTGAGGCCTGAAGACAATATCGACTTGCCCAAGGCCAAACATACAGTAACTGGCACCGCTAGAATATAAACCTGGGTCCCAAAATTTCCAAAGATGGACCTATTAGACTATACAGTACGTCCTCACTGAACATCGTCAATAGGTTCTTGGAGACTGACTTTAAGCAAAATGACATACAGTGAAACAAATATCGTAGGCTAATTGATACAAACATAAGTTAAGTTCCTACAGCCTATTTCTGGTCACAAAAGTATCACCAAATTTCTCATTAAAGACCCCACTTAGAGTATTAAATATTAAAATAAATGCAAACTGTATATATAATTAAGGAAGATTAATAGAAACAAGTGAAGATAATTATTTTCCAGCCTACTGATTCCAGTAGAGGGTTGCGGTAGCCGGTGCCTGTCTTGGCAGCTCAGGGTGCCCCATGGGACCACCTGGACAGGAGGCCCGTCCAGCTCAGGATGCATCACACACCCACACCCACTCAGATTGTGACAATGTAGACTCTCCCGTGCCACATCTTTAGGATGTGGGAGGAAACTGCAGTCCAGAGAAAACCCACACAGACATGGTGAAAACAAGCAAACTCCACACAGCCAGTGGCCCCAGCCAGGAATCTATTTTTTTCTCATCAATCTTATAATAAAATGACGTCAGACAAAACAATATTTTTCAAAGACCTGCTGTACGACACTACGTAACTCGGCAGTGGCAGGCTGGAGCTGGCTCTTCCTGGAGTGCCAGTCTTTACAACTCCAAAGTTCAGTGACTTCACTTTGGTAGCCTGATACTTGTCGTGACATCAGCAATTTACATCATGGAAATTAGCAAAGCGGTACCTGCTAGGCTTCCTTGTTCGGAGACCCAGCTGGTCCACCAGCTCACCTTTGGATATTTGTGACTCAAACGTGCTCTACTAGTTTTGCTGATTGACTCTTACTAATCCTTAAATTCTAGGAACCCTCTTCTTCCTCCTGGTTCCCTTCCCCTGAATCCACTCGGAATGCCCAGAAGAGGAGGAAGGCAGACCTCTGGGGCAGGAAGCGGGGCAGCTTCTCCCAGTGGGCTGCTTTTCAGGCCTGAGGCTCAGCATGGTCTGAGTCTTTCCACATAATTAGTTGGTTCTTATTCCTTAGAGACAGACACAATGAGAGCCCTTTTCCCAGGGTGATTTGTGGAGGTGTGTGTCCTTCTAACCCCAAAGGCCTCGTTCATCTTTCAGAACTCTAATTATCAAGGCAGGGGAGGGTGTCTAGTTAAAAATTTCCTTTTGCACCCCTTTCATCGGGTTCGGATTGGGGGAGGTATGTCCATCTGGGAGCCCCGGAAAATTCTTGGGCACTGTTCAGAGAGATGGCAGGTGGTGTTTGATCACTGGACCCCCCACGCTGTCACAGAAGCCACCCCCCAACCCCACCTGAGTGCTAAACTGTTTGCAAGCCAGGGTGGCAACAAATCTTTCAAGAGGCTGCTTGAAAATGCTTTATGGCACATAGGGTTACAAGGCTCTAGCTGAACAAATGGAAAAATTAGTCTACCTTAAAATATCCAAGGCAAGTAATTTCCTATCACCTTGTTTCTTAAATGTACTTAACATCAAGAAGCTGGGCTCCCCAAATATGGATAAGGGTCATCAGTTAAAATGGCAACTTGAAGATAAAAATCTTCCACTTTAACGGTCGCTCATAAAATGATGCCATCAGCCCCTCTGTTTGGAAAGTGGGGAATTAGGAGTCCAACAAGAGCAATTAAGTTTTCTGGAATTTAACAGGCTTCAGCTATTCAGCTGGTCAATGAACAGGACCTTACCCGGTGGCTGCCAAGACATCAAACTCTTTGCTTTCTCCACGGGCACTTTCCAAGGTCTCGCACCTTGAGTCTGGCTTAGTTTGACTTATTTTTTTCTCGGATGAAATGGGTTTGCTTTTCTAGCTCCTTTCTCCAAATTTCTAAAGAACTCCTCGCCCCATGCAGAGAGTTACTGATAACAACCAGAATGGCAGGGAGTCCACTAATTTTCTTGTATTCTTTTTTTTTAATGTTTTTGAACACTTTGGCTTTTCTTTTCATTCCCTTTATTCATTTATTGTATTCATTCACTCATTCATTTATTCCATTCCTTCCCAAGGATTTATCAAATAATGTTTACTCACCAAGAACTAAGAATGTTAATCCCTCGGTATACCTAGGTATACAGTAGCATACCAGTCAGGAATCTGGCCTGCCAAGAGCTTACCCTTGGAGGGCGGGGCGGGGGGGCGCGGGGAGGGGGCATACAAGTGCAAGCAGAAGGGAGGGAGCAGGGCACTGTGGGCAAGCACAGGACCTGCCTCTAAAAGGGAGCGAAGGCTGCACTTGACCTATGACCTGAACGCTGAGCAGCAGTTTGCAGGAGACAGGGAAGAGTGTACCAGACAGAGCAAACCACAGGTGCAAAGACCCTGAGGCATATGGTAGTTCAGTTTAGCAAAGGGGCTAAACTGGTGCTGCAGGGCTGACGTAGGAGGAGACTAGTGGTTAGAGGTGTGGCTGGAGAAGTCAGTAGGGGCCAAATAATGGACGGCCTGGCACGCCACAGCAAGAAGGTGGGATTGGATTCAGGGGGCCATAGGAAGGTTGGAGCAGCGAGAGACATGGTAACTAAAAATAATAACAATGAAGGGTTCACCCATTTCCCAACCCTCAGACACAGCCACCTTTGAACAGGGGCCTCTGAGTTTCTCAAAATGTCTGGTGTCCTTATCAAATAAATAACCTGGTCTTAACGTTGATGGTTGGGGTGAGGGTAAGGGGAAGGATGACCATGACTCACAGGGGGCTGGCAAGAAGCCAGCCCTATAACTTTAGGCACAAATGAGAATAAATGAAATCACTGGGGCTCACTGCGGTTGGTCCTTTGTGAGGGGGAGAGGCTGGACACTTGAGATACGGGATCTGTGGAGCATTATAACATCCTCGCTATCCATTGTGGCAGGTGAATTACTTCACAGGCAGTGAATTTGAGTCACTAAATTCTAAACCTTGAGTGAGGAAACAAAGTTTGATGAATGTGTCCAGCTACTGGAATAAAGACCCAGAGCACAAGCAAACCATGAAGTTCAGACTGTGTCAATGCAAGAAAAGCCCCAGACTGGCGCTTACTATTAGACACACGCAGGCTCACGCACGCACACTCACACACACTCATGTGTGCACACACCCTCCCTCTCCTTCCTTGAAATATCAGTTCATGTCAATTCCTAAAATATCTCATGCCTAAAAGTTGATATAATTAAAAGTGACCAAGGCATGAGGTGTATTTAGGAAAGCTGGAGGTCGGGGGTAGCTTAAAAAAAAAAAAAAAAAAAAGCAAAGAAGAAAAAAATATCAGTCAGTCAAGAACCATAGAAACCACATTATAAAATATTTCAGTATTTTGTGGGTTTATAATGTCTCCAAAATTCCTGTCATATTTTTATGGGTTTAAAGGAAACTACTGCACTTCATTTTATTCTCTAGAAAACCTTGCCCTGCTGTTATCATCTGAGGAAGTGACTAAGGTCTGGCCTTTAATGATTGACCAAACACATAGGTTAGTTACAGAGCTTATGTCCTTTTAATAAGGCATAAAACCACACCAGAGGCCTGACTAGCTTGTCCTACGTTAGTTAGAACCTTCCTTAGGCATCCTTTCCCACCTCCTATTTCATGACTAGAAATAGTAGAGCCTAATCTTTCAAATGTATGTTAAATCTAAGAGGTATAAAAAAATTTTGGAGGCAGATTAGGTGGAGAAGTCTGCTTATAAGAAAGACTTCCCACAAATGGAGACTCTCAGGATAGCATGCTGTACACTCAAAATCCTCTCTGCTCTTTTGTTATGGAAGAGTTCTTGGGTAACCAGACACTTCCATGCATTTTTTTTAAGAATGGACATCTTTCAGAATGGCGCCTTCTAATAACTGACAACTCCCAGAAACTACGACCATCACCACAATTTGTCAAGGAATTTGGTCATGTTTAAGAAGCACTTCCGTGAAAGGACATCCTCCCAACCCAGTAGTTTCCTTGAGTTAAACGTCACTGGTCATCTCCGCTGAGAAAGCTGCCTCTGGCGGGGAATTGGAAATACATCTCTCTTGGCAAAATGGGAAATTATTTGTGGGGACAGAATTAAACTTCAGTAGTTCGTCCTTTTCTCAATTGTACTTTTGTTTGTAGCTTCAGCTGAGAGAATGCATACATTTAGTTTGGTTTATGAGTTCATATTTTATAATTAACGTTGCCAACAGGGGAATTTGATTAATACCAAACAGTGGATTTTGAGCAATGTTCCATACAAATTGCCAAATTTAGCAATAAAATAAATTGGTTATGTGAGTATAATTAGTAGGATGACTACTTAAAATTCAAAACCAAATATGAGTAATTCCAAATCATCTAAGCCACAAATCATTATTTGTATGGAAGGGGGAAAGTATAACATTTGGGTTTTATTTTGCCCTCAACCACAATGTTATTCACCACCAAGCTGATCATAATGAAACTTTACCATGAGTTGTGACGATATTTTAGAGCAATCTAGAAACACACACATACATGTGCGCGCACACACAAAGGGAGTGTCATAAAGAAATGCCCATCTGTGAATTTTTCATTGCAAATGTAAAAACCTATAACAAATTTTTCAGCAAGTGCTGCATTACTTTCTTCTGATGTACTCTATATAAACCTCTGGCACACAACCATTCAGCCAGGACTTTTCTCCTTTAAATATTCACCGTACCTTATTGTCACCCTGGACTTCTCCAAGCCTTTGCTGAAGTTCCTTAATTTCTTCTCCCAGTTGTTTATTTCGGTCCTGAGAATCCCTCAATAGTTGTGCAAGATTAGCCTGGAAATATCAACACATTATAAAATACAATCAGAAACGGAGGAGTGGATAAATGGAGGACTTTATTAGGCTTATAGAGGCTGGCGTCCAAGCCCAGCTGAACCACACAAAGCCCATTAGAGTAAACAAATGCATACATGAATGTAGCAAGTGTGCAAATCATGCCACGACAACTGCATGGAGGAAATGAAGTTGGCCATGAACCTCAGTTTGGGGATGCTCTTTGTTTCCAGAATGGCTCACGGACAAGTAATAAAAATGTTGTTTGTATTTGACTTTTTGAAAAAGAATTTAAGTGCCCTACACTAAAAATCTTGCAAGTAGCCTAGAGTTTAATTCTAAAATTTGGGCCAACCATATAGGAAAAGTTTCATTTCCTTGTTTAGATGGTTTTTTCCCCTTCAAATGAGATCTCGTTTCATAAACTTTCCTTTGCTACCTCAAGGCCCAGAATTTTGATCACAAAAGGAAGCAGCCAGAGGAGACACAAGAGATGCGCCACAGTCTCAGAAATCAGGATCCAGGGATAACTCAACGGTTTCCTGGGCTGGAATTCCTACCTCCTCATCCAAAACAGCCAGCATGGTCACATGCCCATCCATCTTTCTGATGCCATCCCTTCTTAAGATTTGCATCCAGCTCCGACCCAGATCCCTCCAGCCCTTGCAGGAGGTTGTCCAAGAGCCAGTCTCCCCTCTCAACCCTGCTTCATCTCTTACCATCCCTGCCCTTTCCCCATGACACACAGCACCTTTTCCCATGTTCCCACCCCTTCTTCAGATTCCCCGAATCTGGAATTGCTCGCCGCCCCCCCAAGGCCACACTTTCCTCCATCAAACCTGTAACTCGCCATTCCGCGGGGCCTCACATGGCTTCCTGTTCTGAGGTACTACTTGTATTTCGCTAGCTGTTTCACTAGCTCCAATTCTCACCTTGCTTATGCTGTTCTTATCTAACATGAGCAAGAAGATGGCAAGCTATAGAAAGGTAGAGATTCTGTTCTCTGCTTCCTCAGCTCCAGGGAGCCTGAGTTCCAGCAAATGTTGTAAAGACTCATGACGAGTAAATGACGGAGGAAGGAGGGAAGGAAGCAAGCAATCAGAATATGACTCCTGGAAAGGAATCATTCAGACATCATCACGCAGGGATTTTAAAGATTATCTTGTAGAGTCCCTTCATGGTGTAGCTGGAGAACTGCAGATCCAGAGCCATTAGCACACTAGTGTAACTGGAGTAGCTAAATCTCCAAAGGCTGCAGTGCTACTACTTTGGGGAACACTCAGTTCTGTTAGGTACTAAAAAAAGAATAAAGGCTAAAGAATATAAAAATGAAACCTGGGCTCATCCTTGACCCCTTACTTTATCTCATCTCCCATTTCCCATCTAGCGGGGTATCTAATGCCTCCACCCTCAAGGTATCCCCCACCCAACTGAGCTTCCCACCAAGCTCTTTGCTGCCCTCCATACATGCCAGGCATGATCCCAGCTTGGTGCTATTATCTGTTTTCTCTCACTGGAATGCCCTCCCTCCAGAATACCTCTTGGCTCACACCCTCACCTTTTTCAGGCCTTTGTTCAAAGTTCATGGTCTTCCTAAACCACTTCATCTAATACTGCAACCTCCTCACCTCCACCCAAGCCCCTTCCCCAACACTCTTTTTTCTTTTTTCCATAGCACTTGTCATCTTTTTTACATACCACGTAGTTTACTTTATGGCTTGTTGCTTACTACTTATTTCCTGTCTCCTTCTCCCCGCTAAAGTAGATGTTACATGAAGGGCAAGGAACTTTGTTTTCTCTACTGACCTACCTCAAGCACTTAGTAGATACTCCATAAATATTTTTTTTTAAATGAGAGACAATATGCTGGGCCTGGAAGTTGTGATCTCGGCCCAGGCCGGGACCTGGAATAATAACAACGACCAATACTGAAACCAGTACCCAGCTTGAAGTCTTTCCTGAAAAAGCCTACTCATCCCTGCTGACTGGGTTTAACCAGGCCCTGATTTCTACTCACTTATTTGTGAACATTACTCTAATCTGATCTAATTTTTCTACCCCGTATTTGCAAAGCTCATTATCCTGTAATAGTTGCATTCCAATTTTCCCAGATTCTGTTCTCAGCAGATAAAAATTTGGTGAAGGATGAGGAAAATTAACTCCCATTTTGCAGGGAGGAAAGAAAAGAAACAAGATGCACGGTTAGCAAGTATTTTTGGAAATTTCTCTCTATGGAATCAGAAAGATGAAGTTGGATCCCAGTTTCGCCACTTACTGGGTTAGGTGACCTTGGGTGAGTTTCTTAACCTCTTGACATTCCTCATCTGTAAAATGGAATCACCATACATACTTCATGGGGAGATTTGATACTGAAATTGAGTAATTAACACAGGACCCCTACCCCAGTCCTTGGCATACAGAGGCTCTGGTTAAAGGCCGGTCGCCTCCCCTTGATTGCACCCTTCCACTTGCCCCAGCCCAACCATGCAGGGAGCCATTGGGTGACGTGCCCAAATGCTTCCTTGGACACAGATGGATGCTTTGTGACCCTGCCTCTTCACTGTTCCTTACTCATCTATTCCTTTATACAACAAATCTTTATTGAGCACCTACTATGTACCAGGCACCGTTTTAGACTCTGAAGCTATAGCCTTCAGAGCCTATACAGATAACACCCCTTGTCCTTCTAAACTTACACTTTAGCAGATGATAGTACATTCATTACATTATATTATAAGAAAATAAATAACAACCCAGTAGTTGGATGACTAGTGCTATAGAGAAAAATGAAGCTGGCAAAGGAAATGGAGTGTGCCAGGGGAAAGAGCCTGGAAGGCCACATCTAAACCAAGACTGGAAAAAGGAGAGAGAGTGAGCGAGCACCTGTGGAAATCCCAGTGGGGTGGGGAGGTGGGATGGGGGCAAGATATGTTCCAGCTCCAGCTACTGGCGTCCCTCTCGCCCTCTCCCCCATCCTATGGAAAACCTTCCACCTTGGAGAGCAGTTCACCCCAGAGACTGCAGTGAAGGGACAGACAGGTGATTCAGTTCCTGATTCCTTTCTGCTGGCTCCTCCCCTACAGAGTGCAAACTAGCACCGGTGGGTAGCCTCTGCCTTTCCTCCCCACAAATCCAGGACATTCCCCAAACATTAGCTCAGCAAGCAAATCCTCTTCCGACAGTGGGAGGGACAGGCCCCCAGACCAAGGGGCTGGCCGGGAGGAGCGGGAGAGGGGCCCGGGGCTGAAGGCAGCCTCCCAGGAGCCGGAGGCAGCCTGCACATGGTCGGGCATGTCAGTACCCCATCTGCAAGACACGGAAAAATTCACCTTCACAGAAGCCTGCGGAAGAGATGCTCAGAAAGAAATGCTTATGAGAGTAACAATGAAAACTTATTAATAAAGACAAACAAGACCAAAAAATTTGCAATGTCCTAGCCTTCCCTTTTTGAATCAATAATGGCTTGAGCCCCTCAGGTGGGTGGAAGTTCACTCGCCAACATGATCGCAGTACCTAAATCAATACAACTCCATCTGTCAGCAGTGAGAGACCAGTTCTCTACCTCTCTTCCATCACAGACCAGAACTTTTGCAGAACACAATAAAAATCAATTACTAGGAAAATGAATTTAAGAAGACATCAAGACCCCAGTGTCTGTTAGAATCAAAAATCATGTTGTCAGATTGCATTTCGAAATTTCTGAACACTTTTACTCTCTGCACGTAGCTTGTCTAGAAACAGCAGCTTGTAACCTGGTGCTGGTCCCTGGGCCTCCCTTTGAACAGCTCTGAGCTTGGCGATGCTCCCTGGTATTTAGACATTAGATAGAGCGGGGCAGGCACGCGGTGTAAACCTCAAAGGTTCCAGTGATACATAAAGCAGAGGACAGGGCTGCTTTAGGAAACAGCAGGTCAGAGACCTGGTGACGTGACTGTCAAACATTATTTACTCTGCAGCCTGGCTACAAAGAAATATACCAAACTAAAGCCAGGCATGTCCACAGTAGCTGCAAACAACAGTCAATCAGAACCGCGCTGCTTCCAAATGAGTTCACAGTAAATGTACACCCGCTTTAAAATTGACCCCTGGGGTAGGCTGGGGTCGGGGCGGTGTCCCGCTTTAAAGCAGTGACTTGTAATTTTCTTTTACATTTCACGGGCTGGATTACTTGTCAACACACAATTCTTTCCTATTCATCAGGCCTTCCACCTCTTCAACTCCGAAACAATAACTTTGAAAACTAGAAAATGACTATTCTGATACAGTGCCTAACACCTTAACACCTGAAAGAACAAAAAAAAAAAAAAAGGAAAAGAGAAAGGAAACTAGTACATTTCAAAGCACTCAAAATAGAGGAGAAAAGTTCACACAATTCCTTTGACCAAAAATAACCCCCGTGACTCACACACATTCACTATAACAATCCATCAAGCAAACATGTGGCACCTGCTTATAATTTATCAGCTATGCAGAGCATTTTGTCTCTGTGTTATTGAGAAGGATTCTGTGACCGTTGGTTTAGAATGGCAGCACTATGCACAGGAAATGTCAGGGAAAAGGTGGCAGACGCTGGGAAGGATTTCACAGAGAAAGAAAACAAAACCGAAGAGATTATTTCCTCTAAATCTCTGGGGCGCGGGGGCGCATAAAGAGCAAAACATGAAAAGGCTTAAAAAGAAGCCTCTTTTCAATATTCAGATCTAGCCAGGGCCGACAGTAAAGGTTGACATTTTAGCTCTGATTATGGTGGAATGCTGAATATGATGGAATATATTGTAGAAGCCATATATACTTAAGTCTCTCTTTTTGGCTAGACATTGATCTATTAAAATTGGGATGGGGAAGGGAAGGAAGGGAGATTTGATGAAAATATAGCTCGTAGACCCGAGGATGAAAGTACATGACAACTCTCCATTCGGACAGACCTTCCTGTGTGGCGGGAGAGCTCACCCCCAATCACAACGGATGCCTGCAGACGCATTTTGCCAAGGCCAGCCCCT